TTATTTTTTCTCAGCCAGCCTGGTCAAATTATGGTGGGGCAGGGAGGGGGATGCTGTTTTTGTTGATTTATATGTAAATTCTCCCTGGAGAGATACTAGAGTTATTCAAAGGAAAGGTCGGGTGCTGTGTCTTTTGTGCTTAATTGCTGCCTAAACTCCTTCTCTGAACAGGATGAAACTGACTCCAAGACAGCCTCCCCATGGAAGGTAAGAGCTCCTTTGCAAATTATTGTTTCCAAGGGTTTTGCAAGAGCACAACAATATTTTATGTCCCTTTCTGTGTGCCTTTTTCTTGTCTTGAGGCTTTGGTCATTTCTGGACTTATTTGGGCTGGTTTTTTTCCGACCGTTTATTACCCACATCGGTGCCAGAGTATACCTTTCAGCGGGCGCTGCGTCATTGGGCGTGGCCCCACCAGTAGGATCGTAGTCCAAAAGTAGATGACATAAACATGAAAACAACTGAGAGTGTGAAGGAGAGGAGACCTTCCCTTCGTCATCTGCCTAACCTCTTTCTCCTGTGGCCTAAGAAAGGTTTCAAAGAAGATACCAAATCCAGAGGACAAACGTAAAGGAGGAAGAAGAGATATTTGCCAACTGCAGTAGACATTATACCAAGTGTGCTTAGAAGAATGAGCATAGTTCTGGCCAGGAATACAGGGGAGAAGGTTTTATGTGATGTATTTATAGCAATGATTATGGCACTAGTTGCTGTGTCTAAATTCTAGCTTCTTCCCTCCTGACCTAGCTCTTCGTAATATACCACTTGAGTTACAGGCAAGTTAGATTGCAGATTTCTACTTTATAAAAGTACGTCTTCCTGGAACATGAAAAACTCATGAAAACCTAAAAACAAAAAGGCTCCTACCACCGATCCTCCTATATTCACCTTTTTACCCACTCGGTTGTCTTGTCTCACCTGTCTTAAGCACCTATGCTGGAAGGGGTGTGTTTCTTTCGGCCTTCTCATTAAATAGGCTCCAAACGGGGGGGGGGGAGGGGGGCAGAGGTGCATTTTTCTTTTGATTCCACTTTCTCTCCTTTTCTTAATCGTAATTTTTCTCGTGTAGCAAAATTTGATCATCGGTGTTGTGAATGGGTGACAACTTTACTTATTTGTACCTCTCAGCAGAGTTTTTCTGGTAGCATAAGTATTCTTTCAGAAATGTATTCTAGGGCTGGCCCGTGGCTTGAGAAGAAAGTTAATTCACTGGTTTTTCCTCTGCTGAATGTGTTGCCTTTCCTTAAATGAGATACTGTTAAAAAGAAAGCAGTTCAATAACCATAATAAGAAATGAAATTGAATATTAGTGCACTTGACTTTAAATAAACAATCTCACCTTTTTCACAACGGGTTTGCTGCCAAAACATAGGTGAGTTTTTGGTGGGGAAAAAAAAATCTCAGCTGCCAACATTTGTTAAATTGAGTATGTTTTCTGTAGTGCACTTGACTTTAAATAAACAATCTCACCTTTTTCACAACGGGTTTGCTGCCAAAACAAGGTGAGCTTTTGGTGGGGAAAAAAAAATCTCAGCTGCCAACATTTGTTAAATTGAGTATGTTTTCTGGAGTGTTCTCCTATAGTATGGGCAAGAAAAACACACTAATCAGTCTTTGAACTTTTTTTCTGTCGAACCAGCTATTACAAATGTGGTTTTCACCACTCCCTTTTCACTCTTTTATCAAGTAAAATTAATAATTGAGCTGGAGGTAATTGTGCATTTCGTGTGACTATATAGTGGTTATATTTATTATTGCCTCTGCTCAGAATGTTGATAGAATCCCTTTAAAGTAATTTTGGTTGACCTGTGAGACCTAATTAATGGCACTTGCAGTTCAGTCCTCTGTTTCTTAATTGGCAAATACTTGATTAGTTTTGCCCTTCTGCTTTCTTCCCCTGCATAGTCTGCTCGTCTGATGGTTCATACCGTGGCCACCTTTAATTCCATCAAGGTAAGAAACAGTGATCAGCTCCCCTGGTTTCTTTGGTTTTCTTCCCTGTCTTCCTTGCCCGTCTATAGTGGAGCTCTTTTGCCCATCAGTCAGATGAGCTGTGACATGTCTCACTTTCCTGGGTCCAAGAGTGTCCTGGGCAGACATCAGCCCATGGCTGGGCTGGCTTTCCTGGTCTAGAGCTTGCCAGCTCTCAGCAGTGGAGCAGGCCTTGCCTGCAGTCACCAATAGGGCAGGAGCTGTGAGGTGCACGCCTCAGGGAAACTGCGAATGCCTTTCTCGCCACCTCTGGTACCTGGTGCACCACTCCTCTCTTCCCAGGCCTGCTCTGGCCTGAGGATGCAGCTGGACAGGTATTGGAGGCAGTAGACTCCTTGGGACTTATCCCTGCAGCAGTTGTGTATGAGGCAGTTGCTGTGTGCCAGGCGCCAGGCGAGGAGTGGGAGTGAGGTAGAGTTAGCTGCGTCTTTCCTGCTGCTTCAAAGGCGATTCATAGGCCAGGTGTTTGTGGTGTCTTTAAGCCATTGCATACGGCTAGTTTTGGCTTGGTTTTGGCTTTCTGGAGTCTTGTGTCGTATGGTAATTTTTTCAACTAGGAGGGTGGAAACAGGAAATTATATGTTCCCTAACATTTCCTTCAAGATAAGCCATTGTCCCAAAGTCTGGTTGTGGCATCCCAGAAGAGGGGTTGATGCAGCACTGAGCTGAGTTGTCCTCCCGCAGGAGCTGAATGAGCGGTGGCGGTCTCTGCAGCAGCTGGCTGAGGAACGGAGCCAGCTCTTGGGCAGCGCCCATGAAGTGCAGAGGTTCCACAGGTGAGGGGCCCAGCACTGGTGACTATCCAGTTTACACTGACAGCCTCCAAACTTGCTCACTGAGATCTCAGAGGAATGGCTGAATTTTGTTGCTATTTGTGCTCTGGCACCTACAAACATATCTGACTCAGGGTAGATGCTCAGTAATTATTGCTGAGTGAGTGAATGTGTGTACTTTTGCTTGTCAGAGCTGTTCGTGGTAGCCACTGACAAATGTACAAATACTAGCTGAATCGATTTTTCCTGCGTTTGTCCTGAAATCAAGGCAACTGTACTTGGCATGTATTAACCCAAATGCGTGTCTCATCCCTAGAGATGCTGATGAAACCAAAGAATGGATAGAAGAGAAGAATCAGGCTCTAAACACAGACAATTATGGCCATGATCTGGCCAGTGTCCAGGCCCTGCAGCGTAAGCATGAGGGTTTCGAGAGGGACCTCGCCGCTCTCGGCGACAAGGTGAGAGGATGTGAAGTCATTTCTGATGTGTTTGATCAGGGCAGAGCAAGGGCATACGTGCTGCAGAGCTCCCTTGCTTTGTGCCTTCTCACCACTTTCTTCCGGTAGGTCAATTCCCTCGGGGAAACAGCAGAGCGCCTGATCCAGTCCCATCCTGAGTCAGCGGAGGATCTGCAGGAAAAATGCACTGAGTTAAACCAGGCCTGGAACAGCCTGGGAAAACGCGCAGACCGCCGCAAGGCCAAGCTGGGTGACTCCCACGACCTGCAGCGCTTCCTTAGCGATTTCCGGTAAAAAGCAAAGTGTGGACTCAGCTCTAGAGCATAGAACTTTCTTTGTAGTGGTCATTTTTATTATGAAACTAATACATGCTCAATGTAAAATATTCAAACTACTGAGTGCCAGAAAGTCCAGGATCAGTCTCTACTTCCCTTTCTGAATATATGTCCACACTCTCACGCCCGCACACACCCCCTCCCCCGTGGTATTATATTTTTTCCTTAGTCTTTTCCAACAACTTTTGATTTAGAAGAGTTTCAAGGCCACAGGGAAGGTGAAAGAATAACAGTAAGCATCCATGTGACACCTTCACCTCCAGTCACCACTTAACTTTTGTGACGTTTACTTTATCTCTAAATACTTAATTTTGTTTTTCTGAGCCACATGAAAGTAGGTTGCAGAAACATGGCATTTAACCTCTAAAGACTTCAGCATATATCTCCTCAGAATAAGGACATTTTCCTGCATAATTACATTTCCCTTATCACACCCAAGAAATCTAACACTAACAGTATTTTAGTCCTTTTTTGGTTTTTTCCTGTTGTCTCAAATATGTATTTTATAACTAGGACTTATTGATCCAGGATTCAGTCATGGATGACCTGCATTTGGTAGTCTTGTCTTAGTCTCCTTTAATCTAGAACAAATCCCTCCATCCTCTGTTTTTCGTCTTTCATGACATTAACATTTTTGGAGTGTCCAGGTCAGTTGTCTCGTAGAATGTCCCGTGATCTGATGCCTCAGTCTTTTTGATGGCAGCGTAGCATTCCACTAAATGGGTGATTTATACCTTGTTTAATAGTACCCATTTAGGACAGGCATTTCTTTTTTAAATTTTTGTGCTCTTTAATAATATTCTTCGTACACACACTTGCACACTTAAACCTTTTTATGTTACCTTGGGCATCTCCTCTGCTTGGATATGAGTCAGCAGATGATGCACCTTCCCTTCGTGGGCCTCTGGTAGGAGGTCCAAGTTGTTTGTGAAGGGGATTTTTGGCAGAGGGCCAGTATGGGGATCTGAGCCCTTGACCTTGGTATTATCGGTACCACGCTCTCCCAGGTGAGCCACCAGCCAGCCCCCCAAGTTGTTTTTTCTTTTGAGGTGAAGGTCACATAACATACAATATACTATGTTATTTTGTGTTGTTTATTTATTTACTTGGCAGTTGGCTGGTATCGGGATCCAAACACTTGATCTTGGTGTTGTAACCAACTGAACTAACTGGCCAGCCCCACAATTAACCATTTGAAAGTGTGTAGTTAAATGGCTTTTAATGTATTCACAGTGTTATGCAACCACCACCTCTCTAGTCTTAAATTTTCTTCATCACCGTAGAATAATACCCCTTAACTAATCACTCCCCATTCCCTTCTTCCCCCAGCCCTTAGTAACCACTCATCAGGTTTCTATCTCTATGGATATATCTTATAAAAGGAATCATATGATATGTGACCTTACACACTCGTGTTTTATCTTGTTTGCAGCTGGCCGGTGTAGGAATCCGAACCCATGACCTTGAGATTATAAGGCTGCACTCTAACCAACTGAGCTAACCGGCCAGCCTTACACTCATTTTTATTAACTCTTACTTAGACATCTGTGACAAGGTGGATTAAATGATGCATAGGCCTAGGGCTTCAAGGCTTAATCCTTAAGAAAGGATTTTTCATTCTGAGCTATCAGATTTAACCATAGCTATTGCCTCTGTTAGAACCTGTTATTCCATAGGGTGAAAGATCTTAGTTATGAATCTATTTATTTTTCCTCTGAAGTATTCTACCTTTTTTGTTTTAATATCTCAAAAAGAAGAACAAGAGGCTTTGAAAAACTGCCCAGAGACCCAGCCCCATTCAACAGATTAACTAGATTAACCCAAAATAACCTTCTGAGGCAAGAATTATGTAGTTCTGTTTTCCTGGGCAGAAGGCCTGCTTGCCAGATAATGTAATAGCTGTTCCTCTGTGGATCTTGTTTCTAGCGACCTCATGTCTTGGATCAATGGAATACGGGGGTTGGTGTCCTCAGATGAGCTAGCCAAGGATGTCACCGGAGCTGAAGCTTTGCTGGAGCGACACCAGGTGGGTAGACCTGCTGCTGAGCAGCAGAAATGTGGCTTTTGCTGGGCCATGGGGTCCTCGACCCCCACTCTTCATTGTGAGTCGGTCATTGACATTAGAGTGGGCATCTGTTGCCAGTTACCTAATCCCCCCCTCCTTTTGGCAGGAACACCGGACAGAAATTGATGCCAGGGCTGGCACTTTCCAGGCATTTGAGCAGTTTGGGCAGCAGCTGTTGGCTCATGGGCACTATGCCAGCCCAGAGATCAAGGAGAAACTAGATATTCTTGATCAGGAGCGTACAGATCTGGAGAAAGCCTGGGTTCAACGCAGGATGATGCTGGATCATTGCCTTGAATTGCAGGTAGGTGTGCTCTGGGTTTCTGACCAGGTATTGCCTTGCCAAATGCCCCACCATCTCAGCTGCTTCTCCCCTTTAGCTGTTCCATCGGGACTGTGAGCAAGCCGAGAACTGGATGGCTGCCCGGGAGGCCTTCTTGAACACCGAAGACAAAGGAGACTCTCTGGACAGTGTGGAGGCTCTGATCAAAAAACATGAAGACTTCGATAAAGCAATTAATGTTCAGGTGAGGCCTCTGTACCATGGAGTCTGAATCGGGATGTTTTTCCTGATTGACATCTCCTCTATTTGTCAGCTTATTCTCCTTTTCTCTCTCAATGATTAGAATAAAAAATAGTTATTTACTTGATTATCTCAGCTAGAGAGCTTTGGCAGCTTCCTTAAATAAAATACTTGGTATGGAATACAAAAAGTAAGAAATATGATCATTGTTTTATCTGTAAGGAAAACCTGTATAGTCTGGGGAAAATGATGTGTACATAAAGAATAATTTTTAACAAAGTTTGTAAATACACATGCTGCATTTCTGAGGTTTTTATAACGGGGATGCTACAAGAAAAATTATTTTATTATGAAAGGCAGGAAAAATTTGTGGGCGGGTAAGGGAATGCATGAACATAAACAAAAAGAAAGATAGAAAACTTTTTGATTTCTGAACCATTTAGTTGAAAATCTGACAACCTTTTCCTATTATTAAGCCTAATTTTTTGCATGATATCTACTGATGTAGTGCTTACCCCACCCTAGTGTGATCTGGAATCTTGAGTAAAACTCTATGCTAGTAATGATGGAAATCAAGCTTTCTTCTGGCTTTTTACACTACGGCTTCTAAAGTGTCAGTGTACTCTGATCCTGTCACCAGCTAGTTCTCAGTCACCCTACATAACCATTCTCTTCTCAAGACCAGCAGTCTAGGCAAGGCACAGGCCCACCTTGACCCCACGCCTTTATTTGTCTACAGGAAGAGAAAATTGCTGCTCTGCAGTCCTTTGCCGACCAGCTCATTGCTGCTGACCATTATGCCAAAGGAGACATTGCTAGTCGGCGCAATGAGGTCTTGGACAGGTGGGTGTCCCATGGCACTGGCATACTCACCAGCTCTTAGAGGAGGCATCCCCTCACGTGAGCCCTGGTCTGCTACGTCCTCCAGCTTCCTCCTCCATGGTGGTGCATTCATATTTGATCTCATGGTTTTGCTTTCTCAGGTGGCGACGTCTGAAAGCACAGATGATTGAGAAAAGATCAAAGCTAGGAGAATCTCAAACCCTCCAGCAGTTCAGCCGGGATGTGGATGAGATTGAGGCTTGGATCAGTGAAAAATTACAGACAGCTAGTGATGAGTCGTATAAGGATCCCACCAACATCCAGGTGAGCTGAACTGATTGGGTAGTTGTCTTGAAGTAGCCCTGTGTTATTGAGCAGATTTTGTTAAATAAGGGATCTTTAAAAAGGATGTACCTATATAAAACAATTTCTTTGCACCCATGGTGAAGCCAATGAAAAATATTTTAATAAGCTGAGCCAGTGGAAAAGCCCCACTAAATTGCCAAAGCCATTTAAAAGCTGCCTTTCTCTTTTGCTATATTGAAACCATATCTGCTATTAAAAAGTCTAGAGAATCCCCCTTCTATTTACTGTTCCCAATGCTCAGCTTCCCAGGGGAAGTGTGACAGCAGAACGAGTTTCTGTTTAACAGTTGACATGTATATCACATCAGTGTACTGAACTCTTGTTTTTTTAATCTGTTTTTGTAGCTTTCCAAGCTGCTGGTAAGTTTTTTATTTTTTTAAGAGCTGTGGTTCAGTGAACTCCAGTATTTGTGGTGTTCTGTGTAGATTATTGTTGTTGTAGTCACACGCAGTCTGCTGGTGTCTCTCCATCCATCCTTTTCATCGCTAATCAATCATCACTCTCCATTCAAGTGTCCCTGTGGGATGTGGCTTTCTTTGTTGCAATTATCCTGCAACCCCTCGCGCCCCTCCCCCCCGATTTATCACTTAGCCAAGTTCTGTGCAATGTTTGATTTGAGGGGCACTAGCTTACTGCTTTCTTTCAAGGCGTGCTTCCTTTTGGAAGTGGAATCCTCAGCTTTTTCTGTTTAGACTTTGGCTCAGTCTAGCTGAGCCCGGTGTGAGAGTGTCGATGCACACCAAGTCTGGCACCCACAGGTGCTGGTCCCTTGAGAGGAACAGCTAGAGAAGAACTGTGTGGAGGCCAATGATCTGCTTCCAAATCTAAGAGGAATGGGGGATTGGAGATTTCTCAGTCAGTCGATGCACACCAAGTCTGGCACCCACAGGTGCTGGTCCCTTGAGAGGAACAGCTAGAGAACTGTGTGGAGGCCAATGATCTGCTTCCAAATCTAAGAGGAGTGGGGGATTGGAGATTTTTCAGTCTACATGTAGGTTTAAAGTTTCTTAAATGGATGGAAGAAATGAAGATATAGAAGAGAACAAATGGGCTTTGAACCAAAGAGTGATCAGTACAAGAAACGGAAGGGGGGAATTGGACGTTTGTCTGGATTTGTGGATATTTGAGGCCCTTTTTGTTCTTGCCTTTTGGAGTGGGGGGTTGGAGGACGTAAGAAGGACACCTCAAGTGAGTGTGGTCCTGAGCCAGCCCAACAGCTTCATCCTTTGACAGTTGCTGCCTCTGAAATGAAACATTTGATGCATAATTTTTCCCCAGTTGTACTGCTTTTTTTCTTTTAGTTTTTTTCCCTAAATGGTATTGTCCCCTGAGACCCTGCATTTCCTACCCAGCCAAGTGTTTTTCCCAGAATTGTGCCACAGCTGCTATGTCCTTGCAATTGTCTCTTGCAGTGTTTCACCCGTTGTGTCTTTATGAATTTTTAAAAACCATATTAGTCGCCCAGCATCAGGAGCCCATCATTCTCCTAGCCCTCTCTGTTCCTAGCAGAAAGAAATTCCTATTTGTAGTCAAGACTGGGTTTTGACCGTATGTATCCCTGTGTTTTGATTAATGACAACTACCACATGATACACCAACAAAGCCAAAGTCTAGCAGCTGTAGATTTTTCCTCTGTCAACAGAGGGATAAGACTGACCATCAGATATAGCTTTATGGTGATTAAAGCCTTAAATGATGAAATATCCATATGCGTGTTATTTGTTAGAGCTTCTGTTCAATAAGGAGAAAGCCATGAAATTGACATACAAATAGATTCAAAACAAATTAAAGGTCAAGGATTCAGATCCCTGTATAGGCCAGCTGCCAAAGAAAAAGAAACACTTGGGAGCGCGGTGGCGCTCCCGCCGAGGGTTCGGATCCCACATACAGACCGGTTCCCGCTCACTGGCTGGGCGAGGTGTGGGGGCAACGTCGAGGGTTGCGATCCCATTGCCGGTCCCGGTCCAGTACGGGCACGACACTGAGGGTTGTGATCCGTTGCCGGACACGAAAAAAGGAAAAAAAAAAAAAAAATTTGTAATTGAGAAGTATTCGACTGTCCGAACAAGGACCTGGAATAACAACTGGGCATCCTGGGCTTTCTAGAACGCTAAGTGTGCACCATACAGTATTTCTCTTTTATGTTTTCACTGCCAGGTGGAAGCCCTGCTGGCATCTGAAGATTACGGCAAAGACCTGGCTTCTGTGAACAACCTGCTGAAGAAGCATCAGCTGCTGGAGGCGGATATATCTGCCCATGAGGTAAGCAGAGGGAGGCAGGCCAGGCCCAAGGCATCTGGGGCTCAGCTTGCGTGAGGGGGACTAGCATGTTTGTGGAAGGAGAGCGATGTCCGACACCAAAGCAACGGTTCTCAAACGTTGTGGTCTCTGGGCAATTATACTCATAACAGTTATTGAGGGCCCATAAGAGGTTTTTTTTAGGCAGGTTTTATCTATTAGTATTCACCATTATTGAAAATTGAATACATTTTTAAAGTTAAATTTTAAAAAGGCAATCTCAAGGTGTTACATACTATGCGATTCTATTTGTATCGCACTCTTGAAACACCAAAATTATAGAGATGGAAAACAGTTTAGTGGTTGCCATGGGTTAGGGGTGGGGTGCAGCTATAAGAGGTAGCACCAGGGAGCTCCTTTGTGCTAATGGAACAATTCTGTATCTTAATTTTGGTGGTGGTCGGATGAATCTACACACATGATGAAATTTCATGGAACCGCATATACTCACAGACACACACAAACGAGTGCATATAAAAATTGGTGAAATCTGAATAAGGTTTGTGGACTGTACCCATGTCAGTTTCCTGGTTTTGATATGGTACTATAGTTATGAAAGGTGTTGCTATCGGAGGAAGCTGGGCGAAGGATGCAGAGAAACTTACTATTTTTATGACATCTTGTGAATTAATAATTATTTCAAAATAAACAATTGAGGTTAAAATTGAGAAATTTGAATATCCATTAACTCTCTTCAAATAATAGTAAGCCCATTAAACAACATTTTTTTACTGCAAGTGGATGGCAGTGAGGAATCGATTTCTGCAAGTTCAGTTTGTCACTCCCTTGATTTGAGGGAGGCACCAGCATTTCCCCTTCCCCCCATTGCTTTTGCACCAGCAGTGCAAATGTTCACACTTTTAAAAAGGCAAATCGTGTCTTAATGTTGTTATGAAAATAATTTTGACTTCATAGAAGGCCAGGGGTTCACATACCACACTTTGAGAATATCAACACTCCACACCTAAGTAATTCCTGAGTTTTTACTTTCAAGCAGATATTCATGGGAGACCCAGATTTCTGAACCTTCCCTTTGTGTCCCCTGCCCCAGGATCGCCTGAAGGACTTGAACAGCCAGGCAGACAGCCTGATGACCAGCAGTGCCTTCGACACCTCCCAAGTAAAGGACAAGCGGGACACCATCAATGGGCGCTTCCAGAAGATCAAGAGCATGGCGGCCTCCCGGCGAGCCAAGCTGAATGAGTCTCATCGCCTGCACCAGTTCTTCCGGGACATGGATGATGAGGAGTCCTGGATCAAGTATGTGTTCTGGATGTCCTAGAAAGCCCCTCAGGCCTTTAATAGCAAGTGATGGGAACCACAGAGTGACTGGAGAGGCGGGAGCTTTCAGTCTTTCCTGGACTGTGGTGGTGAGACAGGGAAAGGGCACAGGCTTGGAAATCCTGCACGGCTGGGGTCCTGGCTCCACTGCACACTGGACTGGGATGCCTCAGTTCTTCTGCTGTGCTGTGTACAGTGATAACGGTCAGTGCTGTCCCCACGATGGTAGTGATCTGCGATGGTTACACTAGACCCTGCCCCTTAGTTCCTAGGAAAGATTAGTGAGTTTGTGTCTGGTCTCCTGGGAAAGATCACTTCCTCAAGGAAGGAGACTTTTTTTTTTTAAATCTCCCTCTGCCCCCCAAAATGTCAGTCTGTCCTTTCTGATCGATGTTGCACATAAACAGACCACTTTTAAGGACAAAATCCTGTCTTAATTATCACTTCCGTAATACCTTAAAAAATTACTTACAGAAATATCTTTATATGTTTAGATATATGGGCTATCTATGAGTATGTGGGTGTCATACAGCAACACCAGCCATGCTCTGCTGTCAGTGTGTTCCCAACTCTCTGCAGCATCTAGACACAGCAGGTGCTTACAGATACTTATCTGGACAGAGTGAGTCTTGGACACTGTTCATTTGGGAAATAGAGGTTTTTGTGTTCGAGGAAACTGGCAGGGATTTTCGTGGAGAGATTGGTAGACATAGGTGAGAACATCATGGCTCTGTAGTTGACCTGACATCCCCTTGTGAAAACGAGGAGGTGCAGACACTGACCGCACTGTGCTGCTGACCAGGGAGAAGAAGCTTCTGGTGAGCTCCGAGGACTACGGCCGGGACTTAACAGGTGTTCAGAACCTGAGGAAGAAGCACAAACGGCTGGAGGCAGAGCTGGCTGCACATGAGCCAGCCATCCAGGTGGGGGCGTCTTCTTGCCCAGAGGGCAGAGGGGTTGGATAGGGCCCAGGGTACAGACAAAAAATTCCTTTGCTCTGGTTTATTTCACTGAGGTCTCTACAGCGTGTGTGAGCCCTCAGCCCAAACCAGGAAGGGAAGTTCTAAATTTGATGTTGAGGCCTTTGCCTGGGAATCCCAAGACTGAAGCACCTAGAAGCAGCCACCACAGAACTGTCTGCTGCTAATAAGATCGTTCTTGCCTGTCAGGGTGTCCTGGATACAGGAAAGAAGCTGTCCGACGACAACACCATTGGGAAGGAGGAGATCCAGCAGCGCCTGGCACAGTTTGTGGAGCACTGGAAGGAGCTGAAGCAGCTGGCGGCTGCCCGGTGCGTGGCCAGAGGAAGGAGCATATTGTCCTGCTCCGGGGCACAGTGGGGAGGCCGACACTGGGCCGCTCAGAGCCTCGGCCTTCCTGCCAGCTCCTGGGCCTTTCTCGTGAGCACACGAGTGCCACATTCGGCTTGCTCCAGAGCCACCTCCCATGTGGCTCCATGCTGAACTGGTCCTGTTACGTGAGCCTGGACCCAGCGTATGGTTCCAGAATGTCATGTCTAAAGAATACTCTCCCTACTTTATATTACATAGAAGGCTTCCCTGGCCCACTTATATCCCACCCTCTGTGGAGTTTTAAGCATATGTTAACTATCAGAATCAAAGTTGGAGAAGATTATAGCTGATTTTTTTCCTGTCTCCTGTACTTAGGGGTCAGCGGCTAGAAGAGCGAACCTGTGGCCTTGGTGTTATCAGCACCTCATTCTCCCGAGTGAGCCACGAGCCAGCCCTTAACATATCTTTTTAGAGACTCAATTCAGCCCATAACATACTCCCTAAATTGCTTTGTAACAAACCACCTAAAACTTAGTTTTAGAAACAACCACCACTTCTTATGTGCCATCATTCTGTGACTCGGCAACATTGCCTTGGCTGCTTCATGTAGCTGCCTTCAGGTGGAGGGCGGCTGGGCCAGGACATCTCCATTCCCCTCCTTGTGGCCTCTCACCTTCCAGGAGGCTAGCCAGCTCCCTTTGGCCTCGTTCACAGGGAAAGGCAGCTGCAGGTGTCTGACACCTCACACGTCATCCTCTCACTGCGTTCTGCTGCCCACACAAGTCACAGGGCAGCCCAGAGTCACGGGGTGAAGGAAGAGATACTCTTGACAGGAGATGCTGTAAAATGTCATGGCTAAATGTCCCTAAATTCTTGCCACCAGATGTGGAGGAAGAACTTGCATTCCCAAGAAGCTAGATAGCCTTTGAGCCACCTTCTCACAAAGGGAAGCGTCTTCAGCTAGTCACATGACTTAGGTAGAATTCAGACGAAGTCAGTGATTTCCCATCCTCTGCAGAGTTGTGTTCCCTAGAAGCAACAAAGTGTATTGTCTCCAGTGCTTCAGCTGTGCTAAGGAAAAGACAGGACTTGGAAGGCTCCTCATGAAATGTGCTCAAGTTAAACCTTAAAACTAAGTGGCATTGTTTGGTTGGGTGTTTATCCTGAGCTTGCTCTGTGTTGGTTCTATGGTCTTCTAGAGGGAAAGAGGTTGATCAGCAAGAGCTTAACCCCTTCCAGAGCCTTTCTCTGACTGCAGTTTCTCCCCCGCCGGTCACGCACTGATCTTCTTTACTCCCTTTGTCATCACCTGTTTGTTGCTGTACCTCCTTATCGTCTCATCCACACCTAGATGTAATGCATGCGAGGGCAGGGGCCGGGGCAGTTTAGCGCCCTCCGTCCCCGGACAGTGGTGACACACACCGGGCGCTCAGTGGCCGGCCTTGTGCTTCCACCACAGGGCTTGCTGAAGAAACACGAAGCTTTCGAGACAGACTTCACTGTCCACAAGGACCGCGTGAATGACGTCTGCACTAACGGACAAGACCTCATTAAGAAGGTGAGCCTGGCCCACTGGTAAGACCCCAGTCCCTATTCCAGGACACGCACACGCTGGTACCACAAAGCTCACCTCCAGAGATGTTCACCAAACGGAGGTTTGCGTGGAAACCAATAGCAATTCCAGTAGTGTTTCATAAAAAAGACAAGGGTTATGTGAAAAGTTGGATATTTTCCTCCTTTTTGAAGTCAGTTAGTAAAGTTATTCTGCAGTGCTTATTTTTCTTGTTTAATTAAACAAACATAAAAACATCTCTGGTGGTCTTTTTGTGACATTGGTACTCCCAAAATGCTGCTCTTTGTTTCTCAACTAATATAAGCTCTTTGTAGAGATGATAGAAAATAAAATAAAATAAAACATATATATATATATATATACGCGCACACACACACACACACACACACATATATATATAAAACAGGGCTGGCTGGTTAGCTCAGTTGATTAGAGCACGGTGTTGTAACACCAAGATGAAGGGTCTGTATCCCCTTACCAGCCAGCCGCCCCTCCTCTCCCCGCAAAAACCAAAAACATAAAAGTCATCTATAGGGCTGGCCAGTTAGCTCAGTTAGAGTGCAGTGTTGTAACACCAAAGTCAAGGGTTTGAATCCCTGTACCAGCTAGCCAACAACAAAAATATCACCCATAAAGCCACCATCCAGGGACAACCATATTTTTTTTAAAAGATGACCGGTAAGGGGATCTTAACCCTTGACTTGGCGTTGTCAGCACCACGCTCTCCCAAGTGAACCACGGGCTGGCCCTCAGGGACAACCATATTAAGATCTTCATGTCTAACCTTCCAGACCTTCTCTCTCCATGTGTGTAGAGCTACTAGATAAAATAGCTACCCAGATACCTGTTTAATAGGATTACATTACTATATAAATTATCCAGAACCTGGCTGCTGTACAGGATGGTTTTTTGTGTGTTTTTTTGTTTGTTTGTTTTGTTTTGGGGTTTTTTTGTCTTTTTTTATGACCGATAAGGGGATCGCAACCCTTGGTATGGTGTCGCCGCACCGCACTCAGCCAGTGAACGCATAGGATCCGAACCCACAGCGGGAGCACCACTGCGCTCCCAGTGCCGCACTCTCCCGAGTGCACCATGGGGTTGGCCCTGTACAGGATGTTTTTGAAATGAATGTATTTCATTCTGACAGCCCTTTCGAGAGAAAGCAAAGAATAAAGGGTCTTGGTGCTTTCTCAGCATCCGTGAAGCCAGGTCACTCCTATGTTGAAGTTCCAGACTAGGGCCGAGCCCGTGGCGCACTCGGGAGAGTGCAGCGCTAGGAGCACAGCAGCTCTCCTGCCGCGGGTTCGGATCCTATATAGGGATGACCCGGTGCACTCACAGTGCTCACTGGCTGAGCGCGGTGCGGCCGGTCTCAAAAAGGACAAAAAAAAAAAAGAAGTTCCAGACTGAAGGTAGTGCAGCCATTGGTCTGGGATTCGCCACCACCACAGTGCTCACTGGCTGAGCGCGGTGCGGCCGGTCTCAAAAAGGACAAAAAAAAAAAGAAGTTCCAGACTGAAGGTAGTGCAGCCATTGGTCTGAGATTCGCCATGTCACTTAGGTGCAGTGACATGTTCAGTACTGTAGGACAGATATTTTAACAATTATGATTTCCTATATCACACGTCATGAGTAAGGGTTCTCAACACAACATTTGCACAGTAATCATGGCCTTGAGACTAGGGTTTTGTTCCATAGGAGGCAGCAATGCAGTTGAAATCTGTTCACTGGAGAGCTGTTTGCCTTGCCTCATCCACAAAAAAACTAACGTGGAACTAATTTCACATTCAACCTATGTATAGGCGTAGATGTGGCCTATATAAAATCTCCCTCCACAAACACACAAACCCCTTAGACAGTGTTCTCTGTTCTTTAAAGGTGTGTGGTAACTGGTCTGTGAATAGTTTTCAACCTTCTGGCAAAGGGTCTGGTGCTTTTTTCCTGGCAACTATCTTTGTTTCCTCCCCAAATTTATCTTTAAAGTCTATGCTGACTTTTGTATGTTTTCAAATATGGTTTTAACCAAGACTAAGTCAAAGTGTTTAGGGCTTAACAATTTTCAGTGTCCACAGTGTCAAACATTTTCCTCAAGCATTGTTTTTACTGCATATGTATAGTAGCCATTCTTCATATAGACAGTATTTAAGTGATAATTATTTACACTTTTTCCAAGTTTTTGCCATCAGAAATGATACTAATGAATACATCTATGTAACTTTACATTTCAGTACATTCCTCATTATTTCCTTAGAATTTATTCCTAGCAGTAGAATTGCCAGGACAAAGAGTATTCATCGTAAGGCTTTTACTGTGTTTCTCGTAGAACAGCCTTACCTGTCATTCTTCCCAGGACAGTGGACAGGGAAGCAAAAGGCCCATTTTACAGAAATTGAGAACCTTCCCGGGGAGGGTGCAGATCAGGAAGCTGCAGCAGGAAGTGAGGCTGACCGATGTGTCCCTCTCTTCATGGCCTAGAACAATCACCATGAGGAGAACATCTCTTCAAAGATGAAGGGCTTGAATGGGAAGGTGTCAGACCTGGAGAAAGCTGCAGCCCAAAGGAAGGCAAAGTTGGATGAGAACTCAGCCTTCCTGCAGTTCAACTGGAAGGCGGATGTGGTGGAGTCCTGGATCGGTGAGCACTGTGCCAGCAGGGCCCAGGGTGTCGTATTCTCCCAGGCCAAGGAGATTATTCTCAGAGCCACACCCTGTCTACTCCCCATGCAATTGGTTTTCTTCTGTAGAGAAGAAACTAATCAAATGCGGGCATATCAGAGAAGCTGCCACCAGGGCAGACAACTGCCCACTAGCCAGTGTCCTGAGCCCAGAGAGCGGGGCCGCAGCCGTGCCCCGGGATGGCACTGAGCTGACACCAGGGTTAACAAAACAAAGGCCTGTAAATGCTGAAGTACGCAGTAGACATCACAACATGAACAAAATGGGCACAGCAAAAGGGGCCAAACTGCACAGACTTGTCCCGCTTGCTCCCCTGCTCAGGGTGCTGTCCAGCTCCTGGGGGAAGAGGAACTGGACCCATGTTTGGCCTGAGTAGTTGCTCTTACATGAGTAGTGACTGAACTCGATCTAGCACAGCTGGAGGCCAGGAGCCTAGGGGGCAGCGAATGTGGGTTTGGAGACTGCTGTCACTAAAAATGGAATTTAATGTAAACAGAGTAATGGTTTGCCTGGGTTTTATTTTTTCCTCATCAATCTCATTACACTGAGAAGGCATGGTATATTTTCCACACTTGGTTTTCTAGGTGAGAAAGAGAATAGCTTGAAGACGGACGATTACGGTCGTGATCTCTCTTCAGTCCAAACTCTCCTCACCAAGCAGGTCAGTTGTGGCCACTTTATTGATTGATTGGAATTTATGCAAATAGCATTTCTTGGTGGATGACTGATGGTCAGCCTCTTTCATTAAGGTCTTTGATATCTTATATAAGGCCCTCAGGGTTTGGCACTGAACAAGAAACAAGATCCAGTCCTGGTTCTCAGGGAGCTTCCAGACTAACTGGGGAAGCAGACACATAACGTTAAGGTCTTTGATATCTTATATAAGGCCCTCAGGGTTTGGCACTGAACAAGAAACAAGATCCAGTCCTGGTTCTCAGGGAGCTTCCAGACTAACTGGGGAAGCAGACACATAACGAGGGCTGGCCACAGCAGGCTGCTGGGTGCTGGCAGGGCTGGCCACAGCAGGGGGCTGTGTTCACGTAAATGCAAGGGCACCTCACTCGGTTCCCAGCAGGTGAGGCCAGTCTTCCTGGGCTAAACCGTCAGGGTGAACGGATGGTGGTCAGGGGAAAGGCAGGGCAGGCATGCCAGGCAGAGGTGGCAGGGGGAGCAGGGACCAGGAGGAGGCTGCTGTGGTGTCCTGCATTCTGAAGAAGAACAGGAAGGTGGGCAGTTGTGGGTGAGAAGGTGTCAGCAGGAGGTGGGGAACAAGTTCTGGTCTTTCCAGTCACTGTAGATTAGCTTGTCGCTCCTTGTTCCAGGAAACCTTTGATGCTGGCCTGCAGGCCTTCCAGCAGGAAGGCATTGCCAACATCACCNGCCCAGAGAGCGGGGGCCGCAGCCGTGCCCCGGGATGGCACTGAGCTGACACCAGGGTTAACAAAACAAAGGCCTGTAAATGCTGAAGTACGCAGTAGACATCACAACGTGAACAAAATGGGCACAGCAAAAGGGGCCAAACTGCACAGACTTGTCCCGCTTGCTCCCCTGCTCAGGGTGCTGTCCAGCTCCTGGGGGAAGAGGAACTGGACCCATGTTTGGCCTGAGTAGTTGCTCTTACATGAGTAGTGACTGAACTCGATCTAGCACAGCTGGAGGCCAGGAGCCTAGGGGGCAGCGAATGTGGGTTTGGAGACTGCTGTCACTAAAAATGGAATTTAATGTAAACAGAGTAATGGTTTGCCTGGGTTTTATTTTTTCCTCATCAATCTCATTACACTGAGAAGGCATGGTATATTTTCCACACTTGGTTTTCTAGGTGAGAAAGAGAATAGCTTGAAGACGGACGATTACGGTCGTGATCTCTCTTCAGTCCAAACTCTCCTCACCAAGCAGGTCAGTTGTGGCCACTTTATTGATTGATTGGAATTTATGCAAATAGCATTTCTTGGTGGATGACTGATGGTCAGCCTCTTTCATTAAGGTCTTTGATATCTTATATAAGGCCCTCAGGGTTTGGCACTGAACAAGAAACAAGATCCAGTCCTGGTTCTCAGGGAGCTTCCAGACTAACTGGGGAAGCAGACACATAACGAGGCACCCACACAGCAGCCTGCTGGGTGCTGGCAGGGCTGGCCACAGCAGGCTGCTGGGTGCTGGCAGGGCTGGCCACAGCAGGGGGCTGTGTTCACGTAAATGCAAGGGCACCTCACTCGGTTCCCAGCAGGTGAGGCCAGTCTTCCTGGGCTAAACCGTCAGGGTGAACGGATGGTGGTCAGGGGAAAGGCAGGGCAGGCATGCCAGGCAGAGGTGGCAGGGGGAGCAGGGACCAGGAGGAGGCTGCTGTGGTGTCCTGCATTCTGAAGAAGAACAGGAAGGTGGGCAGTTGTGGGTGAGAAGGTGTCAGCAGGAGGTGGGGAACAAGTTCTGGTCTTTCCAGTCACTGTAGATTAGCTTGTCGCTCCTTGTTCCAGGAAACCTTTGATGCTGGCCTGCAGGCCTTCCAGCAGGAAGGCATTGCCAACATCACCACCCTCAAGGACCAGCTGCTGGCCGCCAAGCACATTCAGTCAAAAGCCATCGAGGCCCGGCACGCCTCCCTCATGAAGAGATGGAGCCAGCTTCTGGCCAACTCAGCCACCCGGAAGAAGAAGCTGCTGGAGGCTCAGAGTCACTTCCGCAAGGTGAGAAGGAACTTCCATTTGCCAGCTCCGCCTTCGTCCTGTAAGGATGCTATGACCTCAGCATAGAGGCTCTGACCATGGCCATGGAGTCAAGTTACACGAAGGCTAATGGGACCTTTGGCTTCTTGAAGTTGCTGTTCAGAAGCACACAGGACATACTCTGAGTTTGCATGTGCTGAGGAGCAAAGGGAAAGACAGGTTTGGAAAGTGAAAGTGGGCGATGGGAGGCAGAGCCACGCCGAGTGCCCAGCAGGTCATGTCACCTCCAACTCCCAGGAACTGCCCCCACCTTTCATATCTGCACCCACTGCCGCCCGCCTTCCCTCCCTCCCTCCTGCCTAAGGATGGCTTGTCCAACTCTAGCACCTCTCCTAACTCTGGCCCCTCTGCTTCCAGGTGGAGGACCTCTTCCTGACCTTTGCCAAAAAGGCTTCTGCCTTCAACAGCTGGTTTGAAAACGCAGAGGAGGACTTAACAGATCCGGTTCGCTGCAACTCCCTGGAGGAAATCAAAGCCTTGCGCGAGGCCCACGATGCCTTCCGCTCCTCCCTCAGCTCCGCCCAGGCTGACTTCAACCAGCTGGCTGAGCTGGATCGGCAGATCAAGAGCTTCCGCGTGGCCTCCAACCCCTACACCTGGTTCACCATGGAGGCCTTGGAGGAGACCTGGAGGAACCTGCAGAAAATCATCAAGGTGCACCCGCCCCTGCCCTCTGGCGCTGCACGCCTGCCCAGAGCTGCTACCTGGGCCCGTTCTTGCTGAAGAGTGACAGGAGGAGCAGGAGGAGGCAGCGTGGTTTTGTTTATCAGAAGCTATTTATGTAGCTTGACTGGGCTCGCTCACTCCCCTCCCATCTTGCCAGAGTCCCTGGGGGTTGTGAGCAGAGAGAGTGACCAGGTGTTCTGGGCTGCTGTCATGTGTTCCACATTTCTTCCCCTGTCATCTTTGGATGGAGTTAACACCCCAGTCCTCCCTTGCCCCCAGAGTGACAGTTTCTTGTCATGTTCATCTTCAGATTATTACTCTCTGCTCCTCTCCAGTTTTAAGGCCAGCTGGTCAGTTCCTGTGGGTAGAGCCATCTCTGGCCTGAGCCCTTCTGTGGAGGAGGGTTGGGGATAACACCAGCATCGTAGCACCTGCCCTCCCCTTTGGTCCTTAGGAGCGGGAGCTGGAGCTGCAGAAGGAGCAGCGGCGGCAGGAGGAGAACGACAAGCTGCGCCAGGAGTTTGCCCAGCACGCCAATGCCTTCCACCAGTGGATTCAGGAGACCAGGTGCCAGCCCCTGCAGGGCCGGGGGAGCAGCAGCACGTCCCCACTGTTAAGCCCTGGGAGCATTTTGGTCCCCAAGGCTGAATCCCCAGGCCTCCAGCTCCAGGGAGTGGGGAGCTTTGTTTAAAACCAGACACATGCTTAGAAAAGAAAGAGGGTAGTAGGGCCTGCTCAGGCCCTGGAGCAGCGTTCTTGGTACATTTCCCAAAGATTAAGTTGCTAGATGTCCTGCCTGGGTGGGACTGGGCATGGCCTTTGGTCAGCCCCCAGCATCATGGGTACTGATATGTTCTTGGTTTTGTTTTTCTTTTTTGTGTCCTGTCTGTGCCCCGTACCAATTGCTGCTGCTGTCCGGACACCACCTTGTCTCGTGGCTGCTTGGATCTCCTCTGCACAGAACATATCTCCTCGATGGGTTAATATTGTCTTCTTCTTTTCTGGGCTCGTAGTGTGGTGGTGTCTCGTGTGCTTGTCCCTCTGCCCTCGTTCCCCTGTGGCCTGGCTTGCAGAGGTCCCCGCGCTGGGCCTTCCTGCCCATAGCAGGCTGCACTTCCCCTGCCCCTGACAGAGCCTGTGGTCTGGGGAGGCCACTCCCCTTTTTGCTGTTGAGACTCCTAGGGTTCCCTTCAGGTAGGGAATGAGATCGAGCAAGGAGGCCATAGCTGGGCTCAGGGCCTCTGAGGACCCCCAGCCTGTCAGCCACTGGAGAATGCTGGGCTTCTCTTTTGCCTGTTTCCCCAGTGTGTCCAAAGGGCCCATATTTAGCCCCAGGTGGTCAGTGGGCACGAAGCTGGGTGCAAGAAGTCCACAGCTGAGAGGAAGGGCTGTGCAGTGACTCCCTCGCCCCCAGTAGTCCCCCCAAGGCTGAGGCTGCCCCCTAGCTTTCCCCTGAGGAGAGGGTAACTAGAACTGTTTGTCCTATAGAAGGCAAAAATGCCCAGTGTCATGATGTGATAGGGCTTGGGAGGAGCCCCAGAGAGCAGCAGGGCTGACCCTTCCAGTCCCAGCAGGGGCCTCTCTGCAAGGCCTGGGGCCTCTGCTTGAGTCAGTCACCTTTGCATTCCCTGCCAGGCCTGCTGAGGCCACAGGGCTGGCGATGAGACCACAGTGGCTTAGACTAGCACTCCTAGGGTTCTGCAAGCAGGTAAATCAGGCGTGTAAAGGTGGCCACGGGAGAGAATGCCCAAATCGGGCTGCACATCTTGACAACCAGGCAGACCAGGTAGGGATGCAGGGACTGCCCTTTCTGGCTCCAGCCCCACGGGACACCCTGGCTGCCCAGCTGTCCTTCCTGCCCGTGGCTGTGTCTACTGGTCTTGGTCTTGTCTCCGTGAGGTGCCATGCTCCCCTCGCCTTGTGGCTCCTCCCCCCAAGCCCTGTCCCGTCTTGTCTTGTCCCAGTGTGAGCTGCCCCGGGTGGGTCTTACCTCCAGGTCCCGGCCTGGCGCTGGGCTGCTCTTGCCTGTGCGCCGCCAGCTTGGGCCTCGTGGCGTGTGTCTGTCTCGGTCTGCCCTCGTCTCCTCCCTCCGGTGTATTCATTTGGTTTCTTTTCTCTGACTAGCATAGCATATCGCCGGGTCATTCGTGTCTATCAGTATGAAGTTGGGGATGATCTGTCTGGAAGGTTTTTCTCCTCTTATTTCTCTTCTTACCTCACTGTGGTTTACAATGCACTCTTGACTTCCCCAGGCGGCTCCGCTTTCTGACTAACCCACTGCCCTCGGCTGCTTGGGAGGAGGCCTCTGTCCTCCTCCCACTGCACGGGCACCCGGCCTTCTGCCCCCAGGTCTGGGGGTGTGCTTTTCCCTGGGGGACATGGCGTGACTGTGAGTCTGACTTGCTGGGGTAGGAGGAAGCCTGGTGCCTTGCCTTGCTAGAGCACTTTCAACTGGGGGGATTTCAGAGCTAACCCTGGCTTGCTGGGTTTTAAAAGGGTAGGTTGGGGCAAACATGGGTAAAGGGGAGGCTGGGCTCATACAGTGAGGCCACGCACACGGTGTGAACTCGTCCCTACACGTAACCCCAACTCATTTGTTATCTTTGTTCACTGGTGGCCTTTTGTGTCCTTGCACTGTGTTATGGGAAGGAGGAGGCTTCCGAAAGCCTACCCACTCTTCAGAATGTGGCTCAGAGGGAGACCCTGGCCTGGCTGTGTGTCTAGATTATAGAATCTGAATCCGGGGCTTAGTCACAGCCATCTCTCCCCTTAGGACCGAAGTAGAACCACTTTCAAACCCTCTCTGGTCATGACCTCTCAGCCCCCACTTGTTTCCTTGTCTGAAGGGTCATACTGTTCCTCAGCCTAGAATGTGGCTCCCCTCATCAGGAACCTGTGACAAGGAAACACCAGGGGTTTCTGGGGGTGGCTGTCAGGCTCTTAGACTCCCTCCACCCTGGGTCTCCTGTCTTTTGGGATCAGGGTGTCTCGTCCTCCCCCATGGCTGCAGAGAGGGTGCTCACTGTGCCTGGCCTGTGACTACGCTGCTCCCATAGGAGAACTTAAACCCTATTCTTGAGTCACCCTGAGAGCCTAGCTGGGCTGGGCCTGAGGAGCCACATGAAAAGGGGCCCTGGTTCAGTCGAGCAGCAGCTTCCCATCTCTGCAGCAGAGAAGTGTTACCTGCCCTCCCTGGATCCCAGGGCCAGTTAGGAAAAGATGGCCAGTAGCAGATGGGTCATTTCCTTAACAAAAGGAACTTGAGATTTTGTTGTTGTTGTTGTTTTATCTGAGAGGATAGTTAATTATGAGCTCTTGGTCTGTTGTGAGCAGGCCCCTTTCCTCACTGAGCTTCTGTTTAGGTCCTGCATGGTGGAAGAATCAGGAACTCTTGAATCCCAGCTCGAAGCTACTAAAGTAAGTGCACCTAGGACTTGTGGCCCAGCTGGGACCCTTCACCCAACCACTTTCAAGTAGGCCTGCTCTTTCCTCCTAGGCTTAAAGTCAACAACCAGGTGGGCTGGTTGGTTGGTTACCTTTTTCTTTGGCTTAAAGTAGCCTGAGACTCATCATTTTAACGCAAGTCTTTGGCAGTTGCTACCTGGGGCCCTACTCGATTAGGGGCCCTTTTTGTCCTTAGTCTGTTTCCCTGGGAGGTCTCAGACTCATGGACTGAAAGTCTTTCCCTCTGCTGAGGTGGTTTGGAGGTCTTAGGCCAGACTGGGAGCAGGAGCCCAAGGAGGGAGCTAGGCAACTCTCGGGCGAGGGCCCTGTCTCATGCACCTTTGCTCCCCGACCCTGCAGCGCAAGCACCAGGAAATTCGTGCCATGAGAAGTCAGCTCAAGAAGATCGAGGACCTGGGGGCTGCCATGGAGGAGGCCCTCATCCTGGACAATAAGTACACAGAGCACAGCACCGTGGGCTTGGCCCAGCAGTGGGACCAGCTGGACCAGCTGGGCATGCGCATGCAGCACAACCTGGAGCAGCAGATCCAAGCCAGGTACCTGGAGGGGTAGGAAGGAGGGGCTCAGCCCTGCCTCTAGGGCTGCCCAGAGGCCAGCCGGCACCAAAGAGCTGGGATAGGAGAAAAGAGCCTGTGCCCTAACTCTGTTCTTACTTCCAGGAACACAACAGGTGTGACTGAGGAGGCCCTCAAGGAATTCAGCATGATGTTTAAGTGAGTACTGCCCTGCCCTGGCTGGGGGTGCCCAGCACCAGGGCCTGTGTGCTGAGCAGCCCCCCGCTTTGTGCTGCAGACACTTTGACAAGGACAAGTCTGGCAGGCTGAACCACCAGGAGTTCAAGTCCTGCCTGCGCTCCCTGGGCTATGACCTGCCTATGGTGGAGGAAGGCGAGCCGGACCCCGAGTTTGAGGCCATCCTGGACACTGTGGATCCCAACAGGTGAGCTTCAGGGAAGGCAGCGGAAGCACCTCTGGCTCCTGCTCCGTACTCCCTGCTCACTGTACTTGCTCCCCTTCCCCAGAGATGGCCACGTCTCCCTGCAAGAATACATGGCTTTCATGATCAGCCGGGAGACTGAGAACGTCAAGTCCAGCGAGGAGATCGAGAGTGCCTTCCGGGCCCTCAGCTCCGAGGGAAAGCCTTACGTGACGAAGGAGGAGCTCTACCAGGTGCGGGCCTTGGGGGGGGTGCCAGTGGTTTCCTTCAGAAAACTAAAGGCAAAAGTGGCACTTGACTCTCTAGCAGAGCTGAGTCTAGGGTGACAGTCCCGTTTTGAACTGTACCCTGTACTGGGTGCAGGAGTTTTATCCCCGGCTACAAATGAAACTCACTAGCGGCTAGGAACTCAGCAGCAACAATCCTGAACCGTGGCTGTAAGGTTGTGAGATTGGCGTGGCTGGCTGAGCTGTGCCCCCTGCATCTCTCCCTCCAGAACCTGACCCGGGAACAAGCTGACTACTGCGTCTCCCACATGAAGCCCTACGTGGATGGCAAGGGCCGCGAACTGCCCACTGCCTTTGACTACGTCGAGTTCACCCGCTCACTGTTCGTGAATTGACCCGCTGCCTGAAGGTGGCCCGGCCACGCTGCTTGCCCACCCACTGCATGTCCGCTCACCCATGTGCTCCTCAGCAGAATACTCCAGCCACTGCTCCCTTCTACTGTAACCTCAGCCTGCTTAGCTTGGGACAAGATGTCATAGGAAATGGTGCTTCAGTACACGCCCTGGTCCAGTCACAATCACCATGTTGCTGTAGGGACCCACATTTGTATCTCAGAGCCAGCTGCCCTCATTCCGACTACAGAAAAATCTAAGCAGCTGGCTCACTCCCCTCTTGTTCTCCTTCCCTCCCCCAAATTTCCTGTTTTCATGTGAAAGGCAAATAAATGACTTGACTCCCCCTAAAAGCTTTGCTGTTCTTCATTCTGCTTATATCAGAAATACACAACTTGGCAGCACACACCGACCGCCTCTGTAGTGGGGACACGCCCTGCCCTGCTCCAGCCGCTCTTTTGGTGCCCTCAGGTGGCCACCTCTGCTGCCAGCTGGTCCAGGATCTCTGTTTCTCGGGGTCTCTGTTCAGTGAACTCTGTGCTCAACTGCCACACCTTCACTGTACCCTTGGCATCACCAGCAGCCAAGAGCTGAGTCTGTTGGTTGTTGAATTCAAGGCAATAAACAGGGCTTTCATCTTGGGTTTGCTTGATTGAAACTATGGGCTTGTGGGGGCTTTTCTGGAGATCAAACAGCTGCACATCACCTGCAGAGAGAGACTTGTGGGGTAACAAAGGCCCAGAGCAGTGGACTCTGAGCCTCTTCAAAGTTACCCACACACTTGGCAAGAGAAGCTCTAGACAGCACAGTGCAAAATAAGCCTGTTACCGAGTTCAGTTCTCCCCACTTGTGACCAGGGTTGTTTACAGTTGGGTTTCTGGAGGGAAGCCATCCCAACCCCACGTGCAGTCTCTTCCCCAGCCCAGAATGCCACATACAAAATGGGCCTATGATGCCACTTAACACGGATCCCACCTAGTGGCCTGTTTCCTACCTTCCCCAGAAGCAGCTGCAAAAACCAAGGGGCGCACTGGGGACCAGCGCACAGCAAACAGGTACTTGTGGGACAGCTGCAGCGAGGTCAGGGGCTGGGCCTGCAGCATGGAGTAGAGGTGGACGTGGCCATCGGTCCCTGCGCTCAGGAAGAGGTTCCTAGATAGGACGCAAGGCAGAGCACCAGGCAAGGGATCAGGGCTGGGCATCTGGGTGGGGGTGGTATCTGCCACCAGACTCCTAGGCTGTTGGGCTCAAGAAAAGCCTCCCTGGCCCCCAGACCTGGGGTCAGTCCTCAGAGTGGACAATCCCTGGGGCCAACCACCAAAGAGTTGAACATCAGGGCCCAAAGAGGGACGAATCAGAGAAGGCAGGTGCTTGAAGCAGTTCTGTCAGTCGCCTAGTGGGTTGCAGATGGTGGGATGGGGACCCCTGGCCCTCCCTGTGCCTGATGGAGGAGGAGCCCCAGGCCTGGGCCTTCCCTACCTGTGGAAGGGGGAACAGCTCACAGAGTAGACAGGACCGCCATGGGGAGAGAAGGTAAACTGTGCCGGGGCCCGCAAGGGCACAGAGTGAGGCATCCGCGTGAGCGCGGCCTCTTCTGCTGCCAGGGAACACTTGAGCGGGAAGCCACCTTCAGTGCCCAGAATGAAAAGGCTGGGGTCAAAGCTGGAGAAAGCCACTGCTGTGACGCCCACCTCGGTCTCACCCCGGGGAGGCTGTGGAGAAACAGCAGGGCAGGGTCAAAGCCAAGGCCTCAGATCATGCTGTCCCAGCAGAGCCAGTGGACGGGAGGGGAGGTCCCGCAGCAAGCTACAGCTCTGCTGGCAGTGCTTTCTGCCACTTTGCGCCCCACAGCTCCCTGGCTCGCAGCCAAGCCAACTCCTCTGGGCCGAAGTCCCACAGGCCCAGGGCTGCCTCGGGGGCTGTCTCCCCAGCACCCGTGTACCTTCTTCAGCTTGGTGCTCCGTGGCAGCTGCTGTACCACCAGCGCGAAGCCCTCGATGAGCTGCAGCTGGCCCGCCCCGACGCCTTGCCAGAGCAACACCTTCCCATCCGTGGCCACACTCAACACCTGGAAACGGTGACTGTGTCGGGGCTCGGGCAGCCAAACCACCTGAGACAACAGGGTGCAGGGGCAGGATGGAGAAAGAGGGGACACCTGCTCCCCAGGTGTCGAGTGCTACCCCTGCCCTCCCCTTCTCTTCCAGGAAAAAAAAAAAACGGCAGACCCAGAGGGTTCCCTGGTCCCTCCCCCAGTCCCAGAATCCCAGCACCAACAGAAAGGCAGGACAACAGGGAGCCACTCAGGCAGCCTGTGTAGGAGGCTGGGAATGGCCACAGGGCCCTGGGGCTGGCTGCTGCTGGCGCGGGGTACACGTGACTCATGCCGTGGGAGCTCCAAGAATGCCCAGGGCAGCTGTCCAACCGCCAACTCCCTGGTGACCTTCTCCCCAGGAGAACCGGTGCCTTCTCCCAGCTCCACCTCAAGGCCCCGCTACCAGGGAAGTGGGAGTTGCCTCTCGCCCGGCCGCCCTGACCTGGTACACAGGGTCTGTGTGCGTGTCGTCTGTCAGGCCTGTGCGCCAGAGCAACGGGTCCTCGGGACGGCTCATGTCCCACACGTGGGAGTTGCCTCTCGCCCGGCCGCCCTGACCTGGTACACAGGGTCTGTGTGGGTGTCGTCTGTCAGGCCTGTGCGCCAGAGCAACGGGTCCTCGGGACGGCTCATGTCCCACACCAGCACCTCACCACTATACAGCCCTCCTGTGGGGACAAGCAGGTCTGGGCAGATCAGCCACTTCAGCAGTCGGCTGCCTGGCCAGGCCCCTAAGTGAAAGAAGCCAGATACGAAAGGTCACATATCGTATGATTCCATTTATGTGAAATGCCCAGAATAGGCAAATCCATAGAGACAGAAGGTAGATTAAAAGTTACCAGCGCAGGGTGTGCTCAGAGCAAGGGGCCTGAAGAAAGTCTCCTCTGTTCACAACGCACCTGACAGGAATCTGGGGCCATAGTGATGAGGGGCACAAAACTCGTGGCCTCCCTATGGACAAACGCCATACACACACAAAAAGAAGTTGCCGGGGCTTGGGGGAAATGGGGAAGGGGAGTGAATGCTAATGGGTAGGGGGTTCTTCCTGGGGTGAGGAAATGTTCTGAAATTGACTGTGGTGATGGGTGCACAGCTCTGCGTAGAGACTAAAACTCACTACGGTTTAAATTGGTGAGTCATATGTGAATTACACCTCAATAAAGCTGTTATTTTAAAACAAAGCTATACAGTGGAGTAACAAGTGGAGGGGGCACAAGGAAACCTTTGGGGGTCTGGTGACATTTGGTTTCCTGATCAGGGTTCTGGTTCCACAAATGTTTTCACTTTATGAAAATCACAGCCCTTCACACTTGTAATTTGGGCATTTTTTTCTTATACTCAATGAAAGTTTACATTAAAAAGCAAACTATATACATAACATCATTATGATCCTAGATCAAGGAACCATCCAATGGAAAGAATTCAAAATCTGTAAAAAGCTGTACGGTGGGCACCCTGGCACCCTGCTAGAGCGAGCGTACAGTGGGCAGCACCATGGCCAGCAGGCTTGCAGTTCCTCCAGCAGCTAAGCATCGAGTTACCAGGTGACCAGCAATCCCACTTCCAGGTGTAGACCCAAGAGGAGTGAAAACATACGCCCACACAGAAACTTGTACACGAAGGTTCATAGCAACATTACTCATAATAGCCAAAAAGTGGAAACAGCCCAAGTGTTCATCTACCATGACAGGATCAACAAAACGTGTCTCACCCACAGCGTGGAATATTATGCAGCCAAAAAAAGGAACGAAGTACTGGGGCCGGCCCCGTGGCACACTCAGGAGAGTGCGGCGCTGGGAGCACAGCAGCACTCCCGCCGCAGGTTTGGATCCTATATAGGGAAGGCTGGTGCGCTCACTGGCTGAGCGCGGTGCGGGCGACACCACACCAAGGGTTGCGATCCCCTTACCGGTCACAAAAAGGACAAAAAAAAACCTACAGTAATGAATTTTCTTGGGGCCGGCCAAGTGTGGTGCTCATAACACCAAGGCCATGGGTTCGGATCCCATATAGGGATGGCTGGTTCGCTCACTGGGTGAGCGTGGTGCTGACAACACCAAGTCAAGGGTTAAGATC